ATAAATATTTCCAGTTCCACGGGTCTTTTTTCAGTGATACCTTACATGGGCCCTTTAAGCTAAACTGCCAGATCCATTTCTAGTTAATTACAACTTTTTAAAAATCTTCATGATTTGCTCACTGATTGGGAATCATACTCATATGACCTGATATAAAACCTTTGCATAACCAAACAGACAAATTTAAGTATTTTGTGGCTGAACTAGGAGGGGAAAAAAGGTTTCTATTATATGTAGAAAACTTTCAGTAATAGTTCTACTACACAAATTCATTATTATAGTAAGACTAGCAAAGTTATTTAAATAAAATTGTTTACACAGGAAATGGACATCCTATGAACTAGGTTATACCTTTATTGGGAACACCTTTGAAACGTTAGTTAAAATGGCCACTAAAACACAAACTTTCCAACACACACACGATCCATCCTTTACTCAGAAAATTGCTAAAGTGGCACCAACAGTAAGGCAAAATTGCCTAACTTGGACTATTTATTTCCCAAGTTTATTTTGATCAGGAGGTCTAAAGTGGAAATGAGACTGCTCTGATTTTGAATTAACTCGTGTACACACATAATTGCCACGCTAGCCTGATTGCCAGATTCCTGACCCTTTGTAACTGCACTACTCTTCAGTGTTATTCATGCTTCATAGGAAACTGCCATTTCCAATTAGCTTTTCAAGCCCATAAATACAGACTGTATTTAGCTAGTTTGCAATATTTACCAGCTCTTTAATGGCTACCATTAAATGAATGGACAATATGTGAACAAGTGGTTTCAATGCTAACTCCAACAGAAAAGCAATACGGATGGTTTGTAATCTCTCAACACCATTACAGAGCTTCGCAAGCAAGAAAAAAATTAGACTTATGGCTACTTGCAAGGTCAGCAATAGCAGAGTTCAAACCAGTGCCTTCTAAAGGTCAGACGGGGGCCGGCCGAGTGGCGCGTTGATTAAGAGCTGGCTTGAGACGCCAGAGGACCCCAGTTCGGATCCCACATATGAGGGTCAGTGACACTGCCCTCTACAGCTAAGATGCTCAACAACAGCTCAACCTGGAGCTGGGATGCCGTGAGTCGCCAGCGATGGCGTAGCTGCAGCCCCTGCTGCAGTGGGTTGCCATGGGCTACCGTGTGTGGCCAGCAGTCTCCGTGAGCGGCCGTCCAGAAGCTGGCAACTGATCTGCCTCGCCCAGGAAGAGCGCAATGATGGTGCCAACTTGGGCCAGTGAAGCAACGTCCTCTACAACTAGACTGAAGAACAAAAGGACAGCAACTTGTCTGTTCTGCTTCCCCCAATTCCCCAGCACTGTTCCCATCCCCCAGTTCCCTAATAAAAATAAAAAATAAATAAAAATAAAAATAAAGGTCAGGTGGAAGTACCATGAAGATTCTTAAGGAGGGACTCTCCCTTAAAAGGCAGCTCCAAAATATGGATTCTTTAGTAAACTTTCAAATGCAAATTTTGGTACTGGTGTATATAAAAGTTCTACCATTTTCAGTAGGTTTTCTTATGTATTCTTATGATTTATTCCAAAGGTAGATGGAAGGAAACAATTTTCTCCCTCTGACAATGGCAGAACACCAAGAAGTTAAGTAACTTACTCAGGTTACCTTAACAATAAAGCAAGGGGTGAAATCACTTATCCTAACCCACCTCCTACTGTGCAACAAGTCAGGTGCTCTTTCTACCAGAATCTGATTCAAAACTAGTTTCGTTCAAGGTAACATATATTAGGTGCTTATGTACAAAGTGCTATGCTAGGCATTTAGACACAGACAGTAACAAGGTGACACCCTTTGTCTAAGAAGCTAGTAACCTAGAAGGAGAAGGGGATAATCTGTGAAGACAAAATTTTTGCACCATACAGGTATACGGTTCTGTGGAAGTTCAGAGAAAGGAAAGGTCACCTCTTTGGCAAAGCAGCAGGCAGGGAAAACTTCCTGGAAGAGGCATGGGCTGGACCTTGGTAAGAGAGGTACAGTATATACAGCAAGTGTTGAGAAAAACTAGAGAATATTCAAGTTGGAGGAAATTATATACCCAAACCACAGACATGCAAAAACACAAAGCACTTCCCAGGGAACAAATGAGCCAGTCTAGTTGGGAATAAGGAGAATTGAGGAAGTGGCTAAGCTACCCAAGAAGGTTGGGACAGACTGTAGAAAATTTGATAATGTTGGGCTAAAAAGGATCAACTGTACAGAAAAACAAAGAATGTGGGATTAGCTCAGAATTTTGAGCAGGATCAGTGATTTGAACAGAGCCATACATCAGCAGATTATAAAATTGGCATGGTGGGGAGATACTCATTTGTTAAATCAATATTTAATGTCTCTTATGTGCCAAACTCTGTTTGGTAGCCAAAACACCTATAAACACAGTATTAATTACACTTTCCTCTTTCCTTACTGATAATTTCACTGCTTCAAAGGTCAAAAAGTCATGAGAAAAGCTGCTACTTTGGTCTCTTTGGTCAATACGTAGTTCATCTGAAATGCACATTAGCTCTTTAGCTCTACAACAATGCGAATTCACACCCATCATTTTTGAGGCTCACAACTATGGGGCCTTTTGAGTCCCAGAGGGTAAATACAGTTGTCATGAAAAGCAGCGACAACCTTAAGGTTGCAGAAGTAGGAGAAGGGCAGCAACAGAGCTACTGTGTTCAAGGCTGGGCTGTGCTGGACTTCTCCAAAGGAAACGACCAAGATGCTGATGGAACAATGGCCCCTAAGAAATGAGAAGCAAGCAAGGCTTTGCAGATGTAGAAATGAGCCTGAACTCCAAAGTATGTATCTTCCAGTCCAGAAGTCATGAAATTAATCTGGTGGCAGTTTAAAGCAGTGGCTGGCAAACTATGGACTACAGGCCAAATCTGGCCCACTGCCTATTTTTTAAGTAAAGTTTTATTGGAAAAGCCAGCCCCTTTGTTTAGACATTCTATGGCAGTTTTCAGACCACAACAGCAGTACTGAGAGGATGACAGAGGCTGTACAACCTGGAGAGCCCAAAATACTTTACTCTCTGGCTCTTTACAGAAAAGTTTGTCCTATGGTTTAAAGGATGGGCTGAAGGTTTAAGGGAGACATGGAATCTTGCCTGGAGTTTGCTAAACTCCAGGTGAAAAATAAGGCTACTTGCATTTGTAATGAAAAGAACCCAGACGTTGAGAGAGCATGGAGACAAAACTGGCAAGATTTTGTAACTGAGCAGATCTGGGGGACAGAAGAAGTATCAAAACCCATATTAAAAATAGTACTGGTGACTAGGTATCAGTAAAGGAATCAGGAGAAATAACTGGTTTGGAGACAGTAAGAAGGAAAGAAAGGTAGTGTGAGTTACACATCTTGTTTGAAACATGTACATTTTAAACACCCCTAGTCTGACGGCTATCCAGGTGGACACGTGTGGAGCCCAGCATGGACCTTGTACCCAGATCTGAGGAGCGATCACAGCTGGAGACAGTGATGGCGGTGTCGTCAGCTGAAGTTGTGAAAGTGGGTGAGATCTCTATAGAATAGAAAATACAGAGAGAAAATAAAGGAGAAGGGAGAGCAAGTGAGACGAGGCCACATGCACAGCTGGGGAGCAGGAAGAAGAGACAGAAGAGAAGCTCGTTTCCTGAGGAACCAAAGGAGATCAGCTTTGATGCACTGAGATGACTTGGCTCCAAGAATAAAAACACACCAAGGTAACAGGGAATCGAAGGGAAGCAGCTTAGCAAGAGGCAATCGAGAACATTGTGGGCCCTGATTCAGTTCAGTTCACCTGAAGCACCACTCACCTTCAATGGTTCTGCTGCGTCTCACATTAGCAGTTCCAAACTAGACGACCACACCTGTGGCAGAGGAAGCCCCACCCAGCACTAACTGAGCAGACCACTGGCATTAAGATAAAGTACATTTCGCCTTGCTCTGGCACTGAAGATCTCTTAAAATGGCCTGTAGGTACATCTCTTCAAAAATGTACAACCAATGGGGGCCAGCCAAGTGGCTCAGTTGGTTAAGAGTTGGATTAAGAGTGTGGGCTCTGAGAAACGGGCTGTCAGTTCGATTCCCACATGGGCCAGTGGCGCTGCGCCAGAGCTGAGCTGTCACTGAGTTGCTAACAGGTGGCAGGATGGCTCAGCTGGTGTAACAAGATTGCCTGTTCGATGGTGGGCTGTGCCCACCAGCAACAAAGACTGAACTCGACACCTTGAGCTGAGCTGTCGCCCAGATGGCTCAGTGGATAGAGCATGCATTCTTAACAACAAGCTTACTGGTTCGACTCCCGCATGGGATGGTGGCTACGCCCACCCGCAACTAAGATTGCACACAGCACCTTGCGCTTAGAGGCCTCGAGCTGCTGACGGACAGCCAGATGGCGACTGGTGCCCTCCACAACTAAGATTGAAGAACAACTTGGCTGGTCCCCCTCCCCAATTCCCCAACACTGTTCCCCTCCCCCAATTCCCCAATAAAATCTATTAAAAAAAAATGTACAAGCAAGCACATGAGAATCTCCGGGAGACCCTCTCTCTCTGGGAACATGTTGCATACAAGGGAACAACACCCAAGTAGAGAACACTTTCTCAGTAATAAAGAATCATGAGTTTTCAACCCAGGCTGTCAAATCACTTACCGCAGGCAGATGGCAGTAGAACTGATGAACTGTGTGCATGACATCCAAGAGCATGTTGTGTCCAATAACAAGTTTTCCCTAAAGAAAGTCAAGGTCAGGACAAAGACTTCCAGGTACAAAATTACATGGCGCTAGAGAGTGAAATGGATGGTTCAGATTCTGTGAGGATTTTGGGTTAAACTTACTTTTGCACATTAAAAAAAAATCATAAATATACGCAAAATAAGTAAATAAGGGCTGGCTTCATTTCTCTTAAATTTGGAAATGTTAAATCTAGAATACAAAGTGAAAGCTCCAAATGCTTTTGATTTCACTGATCTTTTTCTCTGAATTTTATTAATCTTACCACCACAAGAATCAGTAGTAAAATTTTGATGAAAGAGCTCGAGTTAAAAAGGTAAAATCTGAAAAAGTTAAGTACCTTGAACTAGCAAATAATTTGTGAACAAACTGCAAATATCTATTTTAGAAGTGCATTCTTTAAAACAATTTATTTATTTTTAAAAGCAATATTCGTAACAGTGCTAAAAGGCAAAAACAATTTCTAATTATATTAAACAATGAATTTTCATTTCCTTCATCATCTATGTCAAAATTCACAGGGCATGTTCTTAAATACCATTTCCAATAAAATCACTGCTTTTCAACCAACTTAAGTACAACATGTGTACAATAAATGTACTGTATTTTGATAAAAATGAAACTACCAAAATGGAACATTAACTTAGATTCAGCTAGCCAGGTGACACCATCTTTAAAAAAAGCATCAGGTCACTACAGTGGAGCTTGTAACTGCGTGCCAGTGTACCTTCAGAGTAACACTCCTTGACTTATAGGGCTGAACATAACTCTTCGAAATTAATTCTACACAAAATTGCCCAAATCCAACAGCCAGGCTCTTGGCTAAGTGGTTGGGTACATTCTGAGTACCTACACAATGCTAAAATACCAGTACTGACTTAAACTACAGAAAAGATGTGGAGGGAACCCAAAATGGAAGGCAAACACTAAGAGATGAACCTTACTGTATTATAAATTAATCACATAACCACACTGAATGAGGCTGGGAAGAAAAGAACCAACTATGGAAACAGCATCTTGACTGTTATCATCAGCTAAAGACAAAAAGCCCCACACAGGAACCCTGCGGTCATCTAAATGCACATCTCACAAGGTATGGGAAGTAATTCTGAAACTTCTTACATGTATACCAGATTTAAACAAACACATATAATGCAGATAAGAACTGGATTTCCCACTGTTGGAGGGACGTTACAAATAAAAGAGTAGGTTAAAAATAAACCTTATGGCAATGGGTTGGAATCTGAGGTATCAGTACAAAGGTGTGGTTATATATACAAAGGGTGCCAAAAAAATGTATACACATTTTAAGAAAGGAAAAAACTGTATTAAAATTGTAATACTCGGGCCGGCCAAGTGGCTCAGTTGTTTGAGAGCACGAGCTCTAAGCAACAGGGTCGCTGGTTCGATTCCCACACGGGCCAGTGAGCTGCGCCCCAAGATGAGCTGCCACTGAGCTGGTGAGAGTACGTGCTCCTAACAACAAGGTTGCCAGTTCAGCGCCCACATGGGATGGTGGGCTACGCCCACCTGCAACTAAGATTGAACATGGCACCTTGAGCTGAGCGGCCGCAAGCTGCCGATGGGCAACCTGATAGCGGCTGGACTTGGAGCTGAGCTAGCTGCGCCCTCCACAACTAAGACTGAAGGACAACAACTTGGCTGTTCCCCTTCCCCAATTCCCCAATAAAATCTTGGGGAAAAAAAAAATTGTAATAATATATACTGATAACAAAAGATGAGTACAAGTCATGTGTATACATTTTTCTGGCATGCCGTATAGGTGTATATGTATATATATGAATATGACAGAAATATCACATGCATGTATGTGCATAGTCATACGTATGTATCACCTTAGCTCTGCCCAGTCAGGGGGCCATAGAGTAGTACCACCACAGTAGTAACCTAGTGACAGGTCTGGATTTCTAAACATTGTTCACCAATGAAAGGAACCAGGGCTCCTTGGAGAAGTCACTGATTCCAGAGCTGGAGCAGTCAAAGTACAAGATGAGTCTGGAACACCTTGTGATGCCAGGAAGGAAGGAAGTGCTCATAAAAGATGGGGGATGGGGGGGGGGAGTTCAAAGGACAGAGGAGCCAACCTGACAAAGCTGCAATGGCCAAACATGGTACAAGCTGACAACAAAATAAACAAGAAAAATCTTCAATTATAACCTGTAGGATAAAATCAATTTCCCTGAGTACATACTCACATACATTTTTAAAATGATTAAATAAACAGAGGAGAAGGGACAGCTCTTTCTTATGAAAGAATTCCAAGAACAAACGTAGGACAAAAGACAGAAACACAAACTCGCCATTGCTACATCACAGTAATAATGGCCACAGGCAAGATCCACTGGTAGAAGCTGTGCTCACAGGCAAACGTGAGAGAGAAAAGCAGGGTTTTTATAGACTCAAAGTATCTCCCCCAAGATACTTATCAACCACAAAGGGAAAAATAGTAACTTTACAATGCACGAATCCAACAGGCACCATCCTAACCAGGTGATCAAGGTCAACAACTTAATCATCATTTCTGTGGTGTATCTTGCATAAACTGTATATCCTCAGTGCAATCAAAACAAATCCAAAAAATCAGACAAATCCAAATTGAGGGACATCTGACAAAATGAAATCAATACTCTTTAAAAATACCAAGGTTATAGAAGTCAAAGAAAGACTGTTACAGACTGCAGAAGACTAAGGAGAAATAACAAGCAAATGTAATGTAGGATCGTAGCTAGACTTGTGAACAGAAAAATAACTCATTGGGAAAACTGCTGCAATTCAAATAAGGCCTACAGTTTAAGTCATAACATTGTACCAAAGTTAATGTCCTGGTTCTGATAACTGTGTGGTTATATAAGATGTTCGCATCAGGGATAGCTAGGTAAGGGATGTACGGAAACGCTGTACTATTTGCAACTTTTCTGGGAGTGTAAAATTAGCACAAAATGAAAAGTTTAAAGCTATAGAAAACATAGACTTACTACTAAGAGTGACGGGAAAAAAATCTGGTGTGATGTAAATATTTAAGAGCATTTACTGTTCATCAGCTGTACAGAGCTTAACTATATTAGCAGTTTTAAGGTATGTGACTTTTAGATTTTAAACGTCTGGATCACTAATAAATGGGGCTTGTTTTCGTAGTGTGCTTTGTGATGCAACTACCAAAAGTCAGCAACATACTATGAATTACTGTGTAAAAGAAAGACGACAAAGAAGAAAAACAGAGACATAGCGAGCCCAGGTATCTGAATCTGTACACGGTGAACAAACGTCCCAGCCCTGGAAAAGCTAAGCTATCATGATGGCCACAAGACAGCTCAAAGCCAAATGATGTCCCGCAGCTCTGTATTTCAGGGCCCGCCTTGGTCAAGTCAACCACTTAGCTGAAGTCTGCTGGCTAAGTGTGTGCTATGGAAGCAAATGTGACCAGAAGCAATGCTTTTCTGGATAACTGTGATCTTGGCCAGTTCTGCAGAGACTCACACCTTTGTTTCTCTCCAGGCTGATTCAACTTACTATTCCGTTCTGATTTCCTCGCCTACCTCAGACAAAAAGCTCCTAGGGAGCCAGCGCTCTTCTTTTACAAGACTCTGCAGCTTCTGTTTAGCCCCAGTTGAGGACAGTGGTGTGCCTCCCCTCAAATGCTCCTGTTCTGACAAGCCTGCACAGGGCGGTGACACAGCCACGCTACTCTGAGAGGGTCTCTCTATGGCCTTAAAACTTCCCTGGCGCAAGGCTCAGCATCTAAGGGAATTGTCCTTCTCCAGAGGGACGATTCCTTCTCCCATGGCCAACTATTCAAGGAAAAGAACAGCAATTTAGCATCCAAGCAAGCAGTCTGACTTGGATGAGTAATTCGCAAAACCAGCAGCAGCGGGACCCAGTCTACCCATGCAAGATGTGGATGCCTCTTTTCTAAAAGGACCTAAAAACCAAGAAAAAATGTCTACCATACCTATCACAGAGCCCTCTAGCGTATTTATTCAAATGGTCAAAACATTTCTAAAACGTGTCAAATATTATTAAGGCTATGAGATATAAGATTCAATTACAGTTATGCAGAAGAACTCAATACAATTATTTTTATCCTCTGGATTCTTCTAATTAAGGAACAAAATGCCTTCAGTCAAACACCTGATTGTTTCTCCCCATATTCCTCACTTAGTCTACTTCTTATTGGTTTTGAGAAAAATATTAGTTTCATGAAGTCATATAAAGGTAACATAGTATAATCCTCCTATACATTCTACAAAAACAGCTTTCTGAAAAATGGTTTAAACATAGTTCAGCAATTATGATGTCACATCAAAGCATTACAATAGTCTATGCAATTCTAACCTCTTCCTCCATGTCAGATAAATATTCTGTATGTGACAAAATGATTAATTTGCAATGATGAGCTAGGCATTTCACCTTAAATGTTATGTTCATGACTCTAGTTAAAAAGAAAAAGTCCAGGGCCNCCCCAATTAAAAAAAAAAAATATGAAGATACTGTGTTGAGTGGAAAATGAAAGTTAACATAAAATATGAATATTAGGATTCTGTGTATATCAAAGAAAAAAGCTACAATTATGTATATGTGTATAGACATGGGTATATGCAGACATGCATATAAACTCAAGAAAAATGAAGTGAAATGGGGAAAGAAGTAGCATGGGGAAAGGGATATATAAAAAAAACACTCATTTTTTTACTCTACAGATAGCAGCAATTGTTTTGATTTTTCACAACTAACTTATGTATTATCTTCCATGAATTCAACTACAGATGTTCAGTCAGAAAAAGGAAGAAGAGGAGGAAGAGATGAAAACAATGTGAATGCTGTGCTATTCTGCCCGCCATTCCGCTGGATGGGTTCACTCACTGGCGGTGTGTGTGTGGTTCAATGTGCCCATCCCTCCACATCCCGCCTAGTGTGTGAGCGTCTCACTCTGTGTACAGACACTTATTTTTCAAAGAGCATATCAGGTTATTTCATGCCCAAACCCCATCTGCTTTAAGGGCAATAAGAGCCTTTTCGAGTGATTTTTGACTAGACGCAATTATCATCCTATTTGCTGACTCTAGACCCTAACACCCTCTCAAGGTGCAACTGTGCTGCAAGTCATAGCATTTTAAGTAAACCAAAAACCACCTTAGATGGAGAAATAAAATTCAAGGATAACTATTATTTCCTTATGAATACAAATCACAAGTTACATCCTGAGTCTAAACCTTTCTCTGCCTTTGCTTTTCCAAACTGGAGAATCACAGCCTTTTTGTCCCATTGTCCACTTCAGGCATTAGTCTCTGTCTGGCCTGTCTTCAAGTCGAGTATATCTTTTTCTTTTTTCAGGAGTGGGTGGCAACTAGAACTGCATGAACCATTGCAGGTGTGGCCACAGAACTGCTTTGTCCAATGGGGCGAGTGCTTCTGATCTGTTTCCAATACACTTCCTAGAAACTACTTGAGTTGGTCTTTGAGAAAACACCGTCATCCCTAAGGCATCTCATTGCTACTCTTTGCTTTTGTTGGATTAACCCCTGGCTAAAGCCATGGAACCCACTTTAAGAAACTGTTTTCCCCTGCTACTGCTGGAAAACTGTAGCCACACAAATTTCCAAACTCAGCCTATTTTTCTCTCAGTGAAAATCTACAAATACTGTTTAATTAAGTGCCCTACACTAAGGTGATTGGTAAATAGCTGTTAATTGATTGCAGGGTAAAGAAAAGAACAACTATGGTGTATTTGCTAATTTAAGAAAATAGGTTACAAGACCAAAACTGCCTTCACTTTTTCTCTGTAGCCCCAGGCACAATTAAGATTAACTCTCAATTTCATTGGCTTGTTTCCTGCCTTATTACAGAAAGAGTCTGAACTGATTTAGTCACTCAGAAGCCTGCCCTCCAGACTTTCTTTTTTAAAGCAGCCCAGCTCCAGGTCGANTTCAGTTCACGGCTGAGTAGGCTTTTAAAAAAAGGCACAACAAAAGAGGGTTTTTTTAACTCTAAGGCTGCACATGATGTACTGGAAACCTGAGATTCCGTCTCAGAGAGCAGGCACAAAAAGATAACTCTCAACCACATCCAGATTTACAAATTCTAAAGGTAAGGTGCACATAATCTTACCATTGCGAAAAACTTTATTAAAATCAAATCCTTGGCTTGCTAGAAAGTCAATGCTTGAGCTCTGAAACGAGAGTAAACAGAGTACACATTTCGGTGATGTTAATGGCAGGTGTGCGAACAGAAGTGGAAAAGTAACTCAGGGGAGTAAACAGGCAACCAGGAAAGGAACCAACACGCTGAAGGGCAGAAGACAAGGGATTTCTAGTAGCAGGCTGCCAAAGAATCCATTAATTTGCTTAATCTGGGCTCTGTTCCTTGATAGCTTTTAAAACAAATATCCTTTGTTTCACAATATTTAAGAAAATTTTACGCAGTGAACATATATTCTCCCAATGGGCAGAAAACACCTGATCGCTGTACTAAGACACAATAAATGGAAATAAAATGTATTTATGTTATCTCACCCCAGGTTTGAGTCTAAGGTAGCTCACATATGCAGGCTATAAGACATCAATCTCTACTTCAAATCAGATTCTGACAACCCAAAATTGTAACTGGGTGTTGTTTGCATTCAAGATCAAAATACAGAAAAGTTCCCAGTAACAAGACTTAATAAACATAAGCCAAATATAGGGTGAGTTGAAATCTACAAGTAAATTTAAATAAAAATATGAATAAGACCACACATGGTACCTAAGTATGGCACAGCCAACAGTTCTTATTCTAAATGACTGAAGAGTGGGAAACATCATGGTAGCTATTCTAATGCTACTCTTCTTTTAAGTCAGAACATGAGGGTGAGGTATCTGAATCATTTTAATCTGGCCCCTCACCGAACTACCTTTCAACTGTACTTTGACATCACATCAGTCCAGATTCAGGGTCATCATACCGTCCCATTAACCGCATTACAGTCTTCATTTTAGAGACATGGTTGGAGGCAAGGTTTTCTACGGTAATGACTTATGATAATGAAAGGGGAATTGTTCTGAGGTCTCGAGCCTGAGCAAAGCTGAACTTCTGAGCCCTGGTTTGTTTTGATCCTATGGCCAGATTGTGTGTTTCCCCATCTCTGAGGAAGCTCACAGACCAACAGGTGAGACTCTCTTTGGTACGCTCTAATCATACCATAGTCACCATCCTCCGTTTTCTTTTCTTCCGGTTTTTCATTTACTTATGATTTTAATTATGTGTTAAAAGGTAAATGTCATATGTATCTTTATCAGCCAACACAAATTCTTTTTAAACTACGGTGGGATATAAAAAGGCAATCTTACCACAGACAGACAGAAAGACAGACACAGACAGACAGACAGACAGACAGACACACACACACACACACACACACACACACACACATACATGCACATCATTTTCGATCATGTCCAGGTCCTCTATGCTTTAAAACAAGCAACCTTTCCCCCCACATCTTCCCTTTTTACCCTTTTCTGAACCAAGACCCAAAGTCTTCTGACCTGGACCCCAAGCCTCCTTCTGTTTACCATGTCTGAGTATTCTTGTAATTCTACTCACCTAAATATTCTATCACTGACAGAGGCACCGAAAGATGGATGATGGAAAGGCAATTTTGTCTCTCCTGTAACTAGACTCCAAAACTTCCTAACTTCCTTCTCTTTAAAGATCCAGAGTCAAAGAATCATCTATTCCCTTGTTGAAGTTATATATTTTTTACTCAAACAACACCTTTTATTTAAGTTGCACAACACTGTAATTGTACCTAATGCCACTGAACTTAAAACCATTTAAAATGGTAAATTTTATGATGTATTTTTTTAAAAAAACTTTTGAACCAACAAAATCTATGGTTTACTAACCACTATCTTTGATTTGTACTAAATGCACCACTTTCAGGATTCAAGAGATGAGCACAGCAATTTGGGAGGACAATTTGAGGTAGCTATCAAAATTTTAAGTGCATATGCCCTATGAGTCAGCAATTCCCCTGCTAGGAAATCTAGCCTATAAAAATACTCCTACATATACACAAAAATACACTGCATGTGGATGTTGACTATAGCATTGTTTAAAATAGAGAACCACTGGAAAGCTTCTAAATTTCAATCAGATAAATTACATTTATCTATACTATTAAATGTGAAGATACTGGGCCGGCCGAGTGGCGCGATGGTTAAGAGCTGGCTTGGGATGCNTAACGTTTTCATGCTTTCAAGTTTAGAAAGCCTGTTCACTTCCGTTTACCCACTGGATGACCATAAAAAAACTGTGAGATAGGTACAGATCATCATTATTATGCTCACGCTCAATTTACAAAGAAAATGAGGCTTATAGAGGTTAAATGACTTGCTCAAGGTCACCAAGCTCATAAATAGCAGAGCCCTAAGTAAATTCTGACTTTCGACATACCAACGTATCATTGCGTGTGTTTCATTATTAACCCTGGATGATTCCTGAAGTTACCTTTTCAGTTTCTAAAGTCTCAACATGGATGCCTTTGGGATACCTAAAGAAAAGAAAAAAACATGGCATCAGTATATGAGACAACGACAGCTAAAACCGTAAGTATTTTAAAAGCAACCATATAGCTACAATTTAATTAAGTGAAACAAGTTCCATTAACTATGAAATAAGTATGACTGTGATGAGAACTGTACAGTAAGCCTATTCCATATTTCAGCTGCTAAATGTTTCCTTGTCTTTGCCCTTAAATACAAAGGAATTTATCTGATTTCAAATTAATTTTTTTAGGGCTTTGGCATTTCCTGAAATGTCCCACATCACATAATAGAGTCATTTCATTACCATGTAGTCAAATCTTGCTTCCAAATATAATAATTCCTATATGAATATAAAATTTCACTTCCTAAGTGAAATTCTGAAGGCCTTTCTAGACCGCGTAGGCATACACAGGGAAAACTGGACTTGAGTAGCTGCTGTGGTTTGGCACGGTGTCCACATCAGCCATGGAGAGGAATCTGGGACCTACGTGGAGCAAACTGCAAGGATAACACAACAGGAAAGGAGTCTGGTCAAACAATGGCCTATTTCCTGTTATGTTCAAAGTCAATTCCCAGGATGCATACATTATCACTGGCAGATTCTAATGGAAGAACAAGAACCCCAACCAAGTCTAATGCAAACATTGATCTAAACCGATGTTCAATTTTAGGGTTTGTGATCCACTTGAAAATAGAATTGAAACCAATGGAAATATCCCCAGAAAAATACCCCCACAAAATTTTGGATATTATTTCAGGGGATTCACAGATCTCCTGCAATCCATCCATGGTCTAACCCCTACTTTAGAAAATATTCAGCTTAGTATTTCCTAGGACTTAAGACCAAATCTTTATCGCATACTTCCAAGGAACAAAAACGCCACAAATCCAGAACTTAACAGACAAAGCCAAAGTGATAACTAACAGAAATTTTAAAAGGCTTTAAAGTATCTACTAAGAAGCAGTAACAAAGAAATAAAAATAAGTGGGTATTAACTTAATAGGGGAAAATAATAAAATAGAGCAATGCACATAAACATGATATGGTCAAATCACTAAGTACTGCAGAATTTTAAAAATTAAATGACAGCCAAGAGATTATATTTGGTTTTTAGACACTGGGTCCCTCACAGAGCTCTCACATATAAACACTTACTTCCAGCTCAACGTCTGATAAATTAGTTTTCTTTGGAACCTATAAAATCAAAAGAAAAAGTATTAATTTTGGCTCATTAAAAGAGAATCAATCCTAATTGACCAAGCACTGGTTGGAAAAGACATTAATTTTTAATTTTTAAGAGAGACTTCATTAGAAGGGGCAGGTAATATGTAAACAAAAACAGGCAGGATGTTTGCGTTGAGGGTTCCTCACCACTTGTCTTCATCAAAATGTTCTTTAATGTTATTATGTTGCCTTATAGAAGCTGTATATTACAAAGTATTACTGAAATACTTTAGTGAAGCCAGCCCCAAAGTAAAAGGAAAGTAGAATGTCTAGGTTACTGAGTCTTTGAAACACTGATGTTTTTTACCAGAGAAAATCTAAAAGAATAGAAGTTGCCTGACAGTGAATTCTCCTCTTCTGAAGACTTGACGTATTAAGCATTTGTCAAGGCTAAAAAGTTACGCCACCTGGAGCGTAGCTTTCAGCCAAAGTTGCACAACAGTGTTCTCTGCCCAGGACCGAACAGAGCATCCATTGCGTCTCAATATACCATCATCCTCACTGTGTTAATGATAAAGTTAGTGCTTACATCTTGGGAACATACCTGTAATAATAGGACTACTTATGAATGTGTTTTTAAAAAGCCAAATGCAGTACATGCCAGGAATCAACATTTTTCCCCAAAATAAGAACGTGAAAGAGAAGATTCAGGGCAACTAACCCAGTACACGGCTCTAAGTCCAAGTTCTTGTTTTCTTCACTTTGTAACAAATCTTCAATTTTCTCTCTGAGGAATTAAAATACAGGCATGACCATTGATACCGTTAGGAAATAAAGTCATCCACCAATAGAAAAATCATACTCAAAAGCTATCTACATATAAGAACATATGACAACCTCATGTTACCAAATCATGTTATAACTTGTTTGTTCAATAAGGCACCAAGAAAAATAAGTTATTTTGGCATATTCTTTTTGTTATTGTTGTTATTAATGAATTAGTGACAACTTCTCAAGGATTCACAATACAAGTGACTTAAACTTTACTTTTCTAAGTAAAGCAGTTAATGATAAGGAAACTAAGCTAGACTAGACACTCCTCCAATGGCACATCTGCTTGTCAGAAACTTCACTGCAAGAGAAAAACACGTGCCCATGTTGCAAGTATCTGGATGGGCCTGTTTCATTTTTCTGGCTTCAAAGAAATTGGATAGTGGTGGTCAGGCCCGTCAGTTCATGCACAAGGTCAGCCGAGTGACATGTGACAAGTCTAAATACAGTAGACAGAATCCTCTTTACAATGTGCTGTTGTCATACAAATTCAGATACGTCACAGTTCAGTCCTGCCCCTCACAACATCACACCACATGTGTACTGGGTACATGCAGCACAGGTTGAGATACAGATGTCAGCGCTGCCCTAGTGCGCATTATGCAATGCACGTCTGGTTTCAGTTTAGAAACTTACACCACTTGGTCAATGAACTTCTTCTGATCCTCGGGAATCGTCACAGGACATTTTGACGTGTTGGGAGATACATAAGATAGAGCTCCTGCACCATTAGACTGCGAACGTTTTTCATCATACTGCTCTCTTAACTGTCTTTCTTCTTCCTGATTTAAATATGGAATTCCTACACATAGTTTTTAAAAGAACATATTAGCAGAAGTAACTGTTGAACATAAAAATTGTTTTAACAAAGAGTCTAAAATACTCAGGAAAGACTTACCATATTTAATAGATTTTTTTAAAAATCAACAGAAAAAGCAAATGATTTTGAAATATAGTTGTCTATTTGTGTACCTGATCATTCATTCATCATTCATTCTTCTTTCAACAGGTTTTTATTGGGCATTTACGCTGTGCCAGGAACTGTATCAGGCACTGGGGAATCTAACAGTGAACAAAGGGGATGTATCCTGCTCTGAAGTGAAGGGAATGATGTTAGCCAGGATGATCAGAGAAGGCCACTGTGAGGGAAGGCCCAAACGATAAGAAGGAATCAGATATGCAAAGCACAGGGGGATGAGTATTTCTGGCAGGGGAGTTAAGTATAAATGCCCTGAAGATGGAAATGGCTTGGACTGCTCCAAAACAACTAGGAAGCTGGTGTGGCCAGAACACAACCTGCAGAATGGCATGATGTCAGGTTGGAGCGAGGATGGAGCAAGATTACGCAGGCCCTTACAGGCCCCAGTAAGAATCTATTTTATTCTGAGAGCAACGGGAGGCCTTTGGAAGATTTTAGGCAAGATAATTACATTACCTGCTTAAAAAGATTATTTTGACTCCTGTGAGAGTTGAAATAGGAAAGTCAGCTGGAAGCACGTCCACTGCAATTGTCCAGGCAAGAGACAGTCGCTTAGAAAAGAGGTCAGTAAGCTTTTTCTTAAAGGCACAAATAGTAAATGTTTTAGGCTTATGGCCATATGGGACTCTACTGCTACTACTAAGCTCTGCTCTTGTAACCTAAAGATTAATAGATGATGAGTAAATGAATGGACATGACTGTGTCCCAATAAAACTTTATTTACAAAATAAGCAGCAGGGGCCGGCCAAGTGGCGTGTTGTTTAAGAACTGGCTTGGGACGCCAGCTCTGAGCAGCAGAGCCCCGGTTCGGATACCACATGAGGGCCAGTGACACTGCCCTCTACAGCTAAGATGGTGAACAACAGCTCGACCTGGCTGGGATGCCATGGGTNTTAAAAAAAAAAAGAAAAAGAAAAAGTCTGGTTTACTTACCGAATTAGCAATGGCATGAATGACTCTAGAAAATCCCACAGCATCATTCAGTTCTTCCTAGTTTATAGAAACAAACAAACAAAAAACTATTTACATACATATATTCCTTATTTGAATGGGTTAAAACCTAGCCACAGAAAAACAAAACAAAAACCACTGCAATTTTTATCGAGGTAGCTTTAGTTTCACGTGCTTTGCATCTATCATCCCAAACAACTGCATGTGAAATGATTTATGTTATTCCTTTCTTCTGTTTTAGAAAGTGGAATGATCAAGTGACAAATTATCCATTAGTTACTAAACTAACGATGCCTGGGGTTTATCCATCACTTCACATCATGGGTTGAAATTTCTGTGTATCAAGCTGTCTTAAAAACACAACCATTAAAAGCTGCCACCTGCTGGCCAAATTCAATACTACATTAAACTCTGAGGAAACCCATCCAGCATTTGATTATCAAATCAAGCATTCTCTTAACCCTGATTTCTTTCCTTGTCGATGCATTTTTATAAAATGTTTATAGCACAGTACTCTGAGGCTCATCCCCACTCAGTCCCTTCTTCCCTATTTTCTTCCCAACAGTGTTTAAACAGGCTCAATGTCTCTATCTTGAAACCCCTTCTCTAACTCTAAGCTCCATGGAAGTACGGTCCCCTCTGTGTCTCTTCACAGCTGAATGATTTACAAGACTTCTCTCCACTCACTAGCTTACCTTCCAGATACTTGCGGCTCTCTGCTGTTTCGTCACCCTCCCTGAAACTGCTCGCCTCTTTAAATTACTCCCAAGGGTAACTAACTAGAGTTGGTGGGATGTGGAGAAATTGGAACACTTGTGACCTGTTGGTGGGAATAGAAAATGGTACCACAGTTGCTGCGAAAACAGTATGGTGGTTCCTTAAAAAATTAAACGTAGAATTTCCATGTGATCCAGCCATTCCATTTCTGGGTATATACCCAAAAGAAATGAAAGCAGGGACTCAAAAGAGATTCTTGTACACTCACGTTCATAGCAGCATTCTTCACAGCAGCCAAAAAGTGGAAGCAATACAAGTGGCCATCGACAGATGAATGGATAAAGAAAATGTGGTTTATCTATATAATGGGATACTATTCTGCCTTAAAAAGGAAGAAAATTCGGACACATGCTACAATATGGATGAACCTTGAGGACATCACGCTAAGTGAAATAAGCCAGTAACAAAAAGGCAAATGCTGTTTGACTCCACTTCTATGAGGTACTTTAAGTGGTCAAAATTCATAGAGAAAGAAAGCAAAGCGGTGGTTACGATGGGGTGGGGATGGGGAAGTGGGCGCTGTCGTTTAGTGAGCACATCCAGTGTATCAGTTTTGCAGGATGCAGGGTCCAGGGGATGGATGGTGGTGAGCGTTGCACAACACTGTGAATGTACTTAACACTACAGAACTGTATACTTAAAAATAATAAAATGGCAAATTTTATGTTATGTTATATAAAAATAATTAAAAGGGTAAATTTTATTTTACTACACTTAAACATTTTTTAAAGAGAAAAACTACTCCCAAAGCAAAACCCGATGGTCATGTCTCTCACTTCTCTAGCGTATCAGACATTGTTGACGCCCCTTCTTCAAACACTCTCTTTCCTTAGCTACCATGTCACAATAATCAGACACATTTTTCCACTTCTGCCTATCATTTGAATGCTGGTGGTCTCCAGGATCCCCCCCAGGCCCCCTTTCTCCTTCCTCAGGCTCACTGGTAAGTGCTCTAATCCAGCCTTGGTCTCTGCCAAAGACAACCAAGTCGAGCCCTCACCTCTCTGCTGTGCTTCAGAATGACAAATCTGCCTACAGGACACCTACCCTTGCATGTCCCAAAGACATCTCAAACTTCATAGGGTCAAAAACAGAACGTAGCATCTTTTCCACTGCAGGGGGACAGCTCCACCATGGTGCCCTGATGACTTTGCACGTACCAAAGAGGCCACGCAGCAAAGGCTTGAGCTGCAACTAATCTACATCTTGGTGAAACACCCCCAGGACAGGATGCGAGGCACAGGCTTGTAAGGAGCTGCTGACAGGCCACCTCCCTCCCTCTCTCCTGAGGCTGTCATCAGATAGTTTCTCACCGCCTCCCAGGTTCTGATGAGGCACGGGGCTTCCTGCCTCACCGCCCTGGTCAGATTAGGGCTGCAGGATATAAAAGCACTTGGCTGCAGTCTAGAACTGGCTCCTCGGTGATGGGGTATCCACACTCACGTTGCAGTCATCTGGCCCCTTTTGTTTCAGCATTGTCTTTTGGTGTGGGACAAAGTGTGGGACCAGGACCACTTGCAGCTGGCACCTTCTCTATGTCAGTAATAAACCCTCTAAATCTAACAGTGGCTTATTGTGTTTTACAGGTCAGATGTGGTCCTGCCTTACATATGTGTGACATCCATCCACATGCAAACCCTCCTCTGCCTGTGTCCTGCCACCAATATCACTCCAGCCACTCCACCTAAGTGAACTGACATCAGTCTAACCAGTTGCTCAGGTTTCAGACTTGAGCATCTTCCTTCTTCTCTGTTCCTCTTTCACCACTGAAACCTTCTAAATATCTCCAGATTCTACCTAAGCTGCTAACTACCCTATGCCAGGTCACTGACATCTCTTAGCTGCGTTACTCCACAGCTTAACTGGTCTCCTTGCCTCCAGGCTTACTCAAATCCATTCTCCAGACAGCAACCAGGGTGGCAATCCAACAACGCAAACACAACCATGTCATCCGAATCTGTCAAATCGTATGTTCTCACCGTTTAGGAAAACTAGTAACTGTGCTTGAAAGCAGACATAGTGATATTAATTAACAGGCAGTGAAGATCAGTGACACACAATCCAAACAATCACCAAGAATACGTCCTTCCAGACCGCTTCATCTAAGGGGGGACAGGTCGCCATGATGTTGGACTCGCTTTGTTGGCTGTGTCTAAATCCTTAACCTTAAGTTCCCCTTACTCGGGTCTAGGTTTTTCTAACAATTCAATTCTTCTGTGGTAAAAAACTATTCATTAAATTGACTCCAACATATGACCTACAAATATATAAAAAGGCCCTATGTGGACATTTCTCACCCAAAGGAAATGCACATAACTTGATTACCTACCTGTTCTTTGGCGTGTTTCTGCTGCTCTCTTCTTTTACGTTCTTCTTCATCTACTTTGCTGATAACTATGTATCGCTCTTTCTAAAAGACATAAAGCCGACATACAATATTCTGGAAGCAACCTGACCCCAAAAAATTCAGAATTCTACTACTATTATAAGTTATCACTTTTCTCACTGCAGTCTCTCATGGGCTAAACACACTGAAAGTATTTTGAAATGCCACCAAAAGTTGAGCTGATGCATTATAAAACAAAATTCTGCCTGTGTTTCCAGGAAAATTTTTCACGGTTTATTAATTCGACCCAACAGATGTTCCAAGTATCAACAGACTGTGAGAATAAGATACTCCCTAACATGAACACTAAGAAATTACGGTGCATTTGAACATGAGTTTCCAAATAGTTGGTTTTAAAATAAAATTTCTATATCATATTTCATTAGTGTAAGAAAAAAACCCTGGATTTTTCTGGTCAGTTGTCAGATAACAAGCACCTTCTTCCTCATATAACACATTTTATATCAATTAAACACACCACAAAGCCTCCTATGTCAAAGTTTGAGATTTGTCTTCTAGCAAGATTGTTTTTTAATTTACTTAGTCTCTAATTTGACATCAGATTTAAGAGCAGCAACCAAATTCTAAAGTCCTAACAGTTTACAAAGGGAACCTACCATCAGCCCACCATTACACATCACAGTTCTTTCATTGCATCCTGGGAATGCATGATGACAGCTATGCACATGCTTATGCCCCAGATTCTAAAATTTAGTTTTACTTACCCACGTAACAGGAAGCCATTTTTTCTTGCATACCCTCCCAGCTTTGTTCCATAATGAAAACACGTACTAACGTTTTCATGCTTTCAAGTTTAGAAAGCCTGTTCACTTCCGTTTACCCACTGGATGACCATAAAAAAACTGTGAGATAGGTACAGATCATCATTATTATGCTCACGCTCAATTTACAAAGAAAATGAGGCTTATAGAGGTTAAATGACTTGCTCAAGGTCACCAAGCTCATAAATAGCAGAGCCCTAAGTAAATTCTGACTTTCGACATACCAACGTATCATTGCGTGTGTTTCATTATTAACCCTGGATGATTCCTGAAGTTACCTTTTCAGTTTCTAAAGTCTCAACATGGATGCCTTTGGGATACCTAAAGAAAAGAAAAAAACATGGCATCAGTATATGAGACAACGACAGCTAAAACCGTAAGTATTTTAAAAGCAACCATATAGCTACAATTTAATTAAGTGAAACAAGTTCCATTAACTATGAAATAAGTATGACTGTGATGAGAACTGTACAGTAAGCCTATTCCATATTTCAGCTGCTAAATGTTTCCTTGTCTTTGCCCTTAAATACAAAGGAATTTATCTGATTTCAAATTAATTTTTTTAGGGCTTTGGCATTTCCTGAAATGTCCCACATCACATAATAGAGTCATTTCATTACCATGTAGTCAAATCTTGCTTCCAAATATAATAATTCCTATATGAATATAAAATTTCACTTCCTAAGTGAAATTCTGAAGGCCTTTCTAGACCGCGTAGGCATACACAGGGAAAACTGGACTTGAGTAGCTGCTGTGGTTTGGCACGGTGTCCACATCAGCCATGGAGAGGAATCTGGGACCTACGTGGAGCAAACTGCAAGGATAACACAACAGGAAAGGAGTCTGGTCAAACAATGGCCTATTTCCTGTTATGTTCAAAGTCAATTCCCAGGATGCATACATTATCACTGGCAGATTCTAATGGAAGAACAAGAACCCCAACCAAGTCTAATGCAAACATTGATCTAAACCGATGTTCAATTTTAGGGTTTGTGATCCACTTGAAAATAGAATTGAAACCAATGGAAATATCCCCAGAAAAATACCCCCACAAAATTTTGGATATTATTTCAGGGGATTCACAGATCTCCTGCAATCCATCCATGGTCTAACCCCTACTTTAGAAAATATTCAGCTTAGTATTTCCTAGGACTTAAGACCAAATCTTTATCGCATACTTCCAAGGAACAAAAACGCCACAAATCCAGAACTTAACAGACAAAGCCAAAGTGATAACTAACAGAAATTTTAAAAGGCTTTAAAGTATCTACTAAGAAGCAGTAACAAAGAAATAAAAATAAGTGGGTATTAACTTAATAGGGGAAAATAANCGCGCCACTCGGCCGGCCCTTCTGAGTTTTCTTTTAGACAAGATTCACACATATGCCGTTCCTCCAGAAAATAAAGCAGGCGGGTGCAAGGAGAATGGGGTGGGGAGAAGCCTGCAGGTTCTGGATGTACATTCGATTCAGGTGTAAGATATTAAAAATTCCAAACAGAGCCACACTACAAAACCAAGTTCACAAATTCAGTTTCACTAACAATAAAGCTCATGTTCTGATTTCCATCTGCCTTGTCTCTTGCATCTTATTCCTTAATTCATTCTGAAGTAAAGGGGGAGATAGCAGTGTCACTAATTTACAACCCCCAAACTGAAGGTCAGAGAGGCGAAATGATTTGCCCAAGGCCCAAAGTTAATGGCAGAACCAAATTTTAAAGACAATTCTGATTCCACATTTCCACACTGCCTCATCCGCAATTCATAACAAAAAAACAAAACAAACAAACAAACAAATCTCAATTATGCTACTAACCTGACAAACAAATTTGACATCTGGTGAGGATCTATTGAAGGGTTTCGGGAAAACATAGAAGTTAAATGACTTTGTTATATACCTGGGAAAATAAGATAAAAGGAGACTTTTAGGGGGATACATTATGCCATGACACATGAAATCCCACCCCCTGTTAAAACAACCTACTTTGAATCTGTGTAGTCATACTTAAAAGTGCAAAGGCCAAACTGAAACAGCAAAAAGTCCATGGAATGCTGGAAAAGGGAAATAAAACATCTGTCAAAACAGTGCCATATAGTTCACGAGAGCAACAGTATTTTCAAAGAGGTGGGCTTTCTGATTACTCTACTTGATTTCGGCAGAATATTTGATTAGAACAGATGGCAGATGATGAATCAGAAGCATTATTAATTTATATACATTTTAAAATATTTTTTCTAATTAAGCAGCTACCCACCATCCACAGCATCATATTAGGCCTATTTCCAAATGATTAAAATAACCACATCATATTGCCTATAAATCAAATTAACAGTGGAAATACTGAGCCTTCCCCAAAACGTTTTCCAGCAAACAATTATTTTTGCTGTTTTAAATAACACTAAAATAACATTTCATAGCTGGGGTTGAGAAGTTAATGTGCAAGTGTAATGATTGTTATTTCCCTATAATTCAACATAAGGAGGGCCAACATGAGAAAAAAAAATTTTTTTCTAGTACATCCACTTACCTTTTTAAGCTTCTGATACCTTTCTTCTGGAGTGTCAAAACCATTTGTTAATGCAGTAACTGAAGGTCCATCACTGATTCCTAGATTTTTAAGAAATAAAAGTTTTTAACTGGTTAATAAATGCTAACATAAAAATGTCAATCAACTATTCAATGGCCCTATAATTTGATATTCTTATGAATTACGATTAATTGGAAGTGCTCCTTACTTCATTTTTTCAAAATTAGCATTAATTTCACTGGCCACCAAGCTAAACTCTGTAACAATGAATTTAGAGTTGTGAACATTTCAATTTGAAAATGGGAAGTCCTGGTGTCTAAAATAGGTTTCAAAACACAGTAATGATTTAAGAAAACAATATGTACGACTAAAGTTTTGCTGTTTCCAACAGATTAATGCATAATCTCTTATCAACAGATCCTGAAGTACATTATTGTTAGAGTCCCAGTCTTGGCCAACAGTTTGGAGTAACATCTATACAACAAAGACATTTTCAAGGTCAAGGGGAAAGTATTTCTGGTGAAAACTCTTAACTCCCCAGGGAATTGACTCCAACTAGACCGGACATATTTAATTAAAGCCAGTAGCCATATTTACCTAGCAAGGATTCCTTTAGAAAGAGCTGAAGAGTTTTTTAAACATGTAAAATCTGGTAATGAAAGTGGACATTTATACCAAAGAAATCCAACTGTTGATACTGACTTCAACTGTTTAAAAATTATGGTCTTTAATCCAAAAAAAAAAAACCTTGCAATTATAAGTGTTGGTAAAATATTACACACACACACACACACACCCAATGCCAAGGTAGGCAATGAACACTTCACAAATGCCAAAAGGAATACCCTCATTTATCTGCAAAAGCCTGATCCTAACGTCAGTCTCAAAGNGGAAGAAATTATCAAATTCAGTTCAAGGTGAGGGAAAATATAGGCATGAATTTCTTCCCCTCCAAGTTCAAAGACTCCTGAATTCTATCTATGGGGGGAGGAAAGGCAGACCATGGACTACTATTAACAGTTAAGAAGCTCTGTACTTAAAGCATGTTAATATAGGTGGATGGGAATGAACCAGTAGAGACAGATAATAATACAGGAGAGAGGCAGGCAAACCAGAGGAGCCAGTGCTTGACCACGAGACAAGGACTAGCCACTGACAGGAACAGGGATTCCTCTTCACTGTCAAGCTGAGAAGCAAAAAGGTTGGGTCCAGGGCGGGGGGGTCTGATGATGTAAACTCAAAGTAGCTCTTCTCTGATGGCTTCTATTTTCACGGAGAGGCATGGTCATCAGGTGCAGTGGGAGGTTTGGAGAAAGAGATGGTAAAAAGCAAACATCCTAGAGAGCTGGAACACGAATTCCTAAGCTAATAAAGCAGGATTTTTTACCACAACTGCGTGTTTATTTGAAGCCTGTGGTCATGAAATTCAAGTGACTCATTAGGTCAGGGTGTCATGTTTTCCAGCAATATTCAGATGATTACAAACAGAGAAGGTGGCTGGTCAGATCCAGCCAGGGTTGGGACTTTGCTGGGCAAGTGCAATGGAGGGAGAGAGGAGCAAGGGAAGGAAGGCAGGCTATGGTGGACCACATGACAGGAGAGTGGAAGGAAACTGACAGTGAAAAAACAATGGAGATCAACAGGTTCCTGAAATGAGGTACTGGAGTAACTGAGTGTGTAGGACAGGAAGCAGTGCTCTCAGTGAGAAATGTTGGGGGTGGGTGGAGTTACTAGTGAGAAGACCCACAATGCCACCAAGGGTCTTCTACCTCCATCTAAGTGGAGGCAGAAGTCAAGACTGCTGGCCACCCGGTCAAGAAACAGACAAGACAAAGCATGTGCTGCTCATCCTTGTAGTTGCTGAAGTCACCCAAAATGAGGAGAGGCAGGAGTGGAGGGAAAGACAAGGAGCCAAAGCCAAGGCTGTCGGTGAATGCCACACCCATGAAGTCGGCAGAAAGAAGGGTGCAGGCAGAGCTGGGTGACACGGCCCTGAGAAGAACTATGTATGGCTCCTGAAAAGAGGGCATGCAAGTGGTATGAATGTGGCACGGGGAAACACGGAGACCTGCCGCTGCCTGGCTGGAGGCATAGAGAGAGAGGGGTAAAACCACCTGTGTTTGAGGGCTGCAGGGGGATGGAAACAAGGAGTCACCTGATTTCATTTCAGTCAAGGAAGTTAAAGGCACTTCCGGAAAAAACTACCAGGAAGAAGGGTCTGGCATTTACAGGGCCTGTGTGGAAAGGTTTGATAAGGAAGAGAAGGTCTACATCAGATTTACAATAACAAGGGCATGAAGATACAGAGCCCTGGTAGTAACAGATGGCCTGGGAGTCCTGATTCATCTGTGACTAAAATAATCCAAGGTCTGACGAAAAAACAGTGAGAACGAGGCACAGTACAAATTGGTGGTTTCTCTCCTTTCATGAAAATAAAAAATAAAACCGTGAAGCTGGAAACTATACTACATCCATATGAGTCTGGTTTAAGAAATCCCTTCAAAAGATTTTTTTGCACTTACTCCAACAGAGAGCTCTAGCTAACTTTGGAACTTATACCTTTATCATGGCTTTCAAAGTCAAGTATGAGCCAAAGGAAAAAATTATTTTATACACCCAAATTGTGTTGCCCACTTGGTCCATCCATTGTGTTAAGTTGTTTCGACTCCAAAATTTTTTAGGATTTCCAAAAATCAAAATCATCAATAGAAATTAGGATGCGGCACCACTGAGGAAGTTAAAAAACAGTGTGGCATGGGCACTGAAGGCCTCCTAGGGAGATCATGCTGAGGGGAAGAGAATTTATTTGAAGTCTATGTTTTAATATACTTTTGTTGAGAGAAAAATCTCCTTCCTTACCTCACTCCATAATTCTACATTCACCATGGAAAAGAATATAATTTAGGAGAATAATTAAATTAAGAGCAGTTATTGACATTATAGCAGCAGGTGCTTAACATGGCTGGGAAAACCAGAGGCTTTTCCAAACACTCTTTGGGAAATGAATCGGAAGAAGGAAACCACTCTGGTGTGCTCTAACGTCCAACATGCATTCATCGAATATTTAATGGTCACCTCTCTGACATGCAGAGGAGTCACAGTGTGTACCAAGGGTATGGAATGAGACAGAGTCCCTTTCCTCAGGGTGCTCAGCAGCCTATCACACCAGCAAGACCTCTGGTGTGCAGTCTATAGAGACTTTTTTTATCCCATGAGAAACGGAGAAACCATCTCTGATTATAAAACAAGCGCCAATTGGAAAAGGGAGTTTTTCATGACAGGATGACTGGAATCCGGCTGTTTTTTAAAGTACTACAGCATTTGTCTCACTGAAAGAAAACAGGCGAAGTGTTCCCCACAAGGGGGTCTGTTAGGCGAATAAGTCACATAGAATAAACTAGGAATAACTATGTTATT